CAATGACCAGCTTCTTTCTTATCATAGTACATCATTCCAGAATACAATGTATCATGAGAAGCTGCTGCATGTATTTATAATAATGTACGTAATACATATAATATACCATTATTACCTGAATGTGTAGTGGAATGATCAGTAGATGATTCATCATCATTCCTTGCTGGACACTGTTCACTGGATACAGTAGCTGTAGGTTCATCAGAATCACTTAGTACATGATCTGACTGATGTACAGTTGGTTCATCAGTAGTATGGGATCCTACCTCATGGGCTAACTGAGAAGGATTGTCATTAATTGAGTCTATAAGGTAAAACATAACATGCAGTATACATGATACAGTTACATACCATGAGGTGGTGTAGTACTTGTTGATGGAGTGGCTCCTCCTCCACTACTATTCTCTCCTGCTCCATTATTGCTATCATTAGGTGTGCCTCCATTAGTCTCCTCCTCACTATCATTATTTGTTCCTATACATCATACAAACGCATCAACAGTAAATTATCAATACAAACACTATTGTATACCTTGAGTTTGTGTATCATTCTCTGATCCATTCCCACCTCCATTAGGTGTGTCTCCATTACCAACATGTCCAATACCAAAAGCACAGAATTCATCACGTTCAATAGAACCATACCTGTTCCCTACACTAAAAGATCCTCCTTCAACTATACTGAACTGGTAAGCATTGGGAGACTTCAGTGGAGCTCTCACAAACTTGAGGTAACCAGTCTGACTAGTGTTCCTTAGATCCACACAATGTTGTAGCTCTATTACCAGTGGTTTTAATAGTGCCTTAGATACTGATATTGCATATACTGCACTCACTAGCACAGTACCTTTGGGTACCTTGAAATTACCACCAGCTAGGGCAGTAACAGCTACTTCAGTATCCTTGGACACTGCTCCTTGAGGACACTCTAATCTGAATCCACATTTCTCCCACTGGAGTGAATGAGACCTGTCTTCTTGTAGGATAAAGAGCTTCTGTCCAGCTATAATGACACTAGAGTCTAGTGAATCTGAAGCAATACACACACATCATATCTAATACCAGTATAGTACACACACAATCATTCACATGTGTACATGTACATGTACATGATTAATTTACCCATTGAAGGGATCAGGTAATTAAATTGTAGTCCAATGGAACTAGTCTCTTTGATAGGTTGCTTGAGGACCCTCTCTTGTCTTTCCTTCACTAGTTTGGCTATGTACAACTCCTTTTCTTTAAGGTCTATAAATTAATAGAATATTAATAATTATTATTGATTGATGATAATACGCTAACCAGTAATGATCTGTTTCTCATTCTGTGATTGTTCCTTTACTTGTGATGTCAGTTTGGCTATAACTTTGTCTTTCTCAGAAACGTCAATTTTCAGATTTTGAACATCATCTATCCACAATAAACATATTCTCTCATCTAATACATGCTGTGTGTACAGTTAACTAACCAATAATGATTTGTTTCTCCTTGAGATATTGTTCCTCCTTCTCCTCCATAACAGCTACTTTGAGTTTCAGTTTTTCATAATCTTCTACATTAAGGGAATATTGCATGTCTCATCAATTATTACATGTATGTACTGATGATACACTAACCAGTAATATTATGTTTCTTCTCCTCTACTTGTGTCTTCTCTTCCAATATTTGAGTATCTTTAATTTTGAGCTTTTTGTCATATTCTATTAAGGATCAAAAGATATTTGTTGCTTATACCAATTTGCACTGCATGTACAATAGCCCATAAATATATGTACATGTACTATGATTATTGTCAATGATACCATATATGGTAAGCAGAGCTCACTCTACATCAATCTCATTATTTCTAATTGCATGGACAATTTGACCTAT